ATATATATATATATATATATATATATATATATATATATACACATAATTTTTCTGACCTTATATACATAGTATAATTTTTCGGCAAGGGGGTTCTCCGCCTAGCTCCGCCCCTGGGTGGAAGGAGGCAGTTACCGCGAATATCGAGATCTCAACAAGCTGAGTGCACTTTGGATGATATATTCATATTTTGGGATGGGGTTAAATGCACTGCTACTTGGGTGCCACTTTTGAATTCTTGCAGCTTAGTTACCTAGAGGATAAATAGGATGCTTAAGAACATGATATTAAGCTTTATTCTGAGGAGTTAGGATGCTGGAAAAAGATAAATACAACTCCTCTACATTGAAATGTGTGTCATATTTTCACCATTCACCACTCTTTGTATTATTATTGCCTTCACTAATTTGGTTGCCAAGAAAAGGGAAAGACCTGCTTGAGGGGTTGGAGATCTAGGATGAGGTAGATGACTGGTAAGTTAGTAACCAATCAGAAGGAAAAAAATATGTCCAGAAATACATACATATGTGTTATGTTTCCATATATTAGCAGTTATCAGAAGTTTTTACGTAATAACATGTCTTGTACTCGTTATGGTCTCCTTAGACTTCCTCTAGTTCTTTGCAGCTTTCCGGTTGATTATTGATCTTTCTCTCACCATTTTCTAAAGGGATCTCTGTTCCAATTTTCTTTTACCTTCTTTGTGCTCCCTTTTCTGCTTATCTTTTATTCTGGCCTCAGCAATCATATTGCTTGTTCTCTCTGAGGTATACCTCTGTCCTCTCTTCTTGTGCATTGAGATTATACTGCTGACTATGGTCATGCAATATTGATGTTTTACCTTTCTTTCTATGGAGACAAAACAAGGGATCCTGCAATTTCTTCTTTCACTACTTCTATCTCCCATCTGCATCTAGCCTTTAAACAATCTTTCTGGCTCCTACTCTATGACTTGTTTCTCATTATTTCAATTTCATTTTAGGTTGTAATGGATGCTGTGAATAAGCCTCGGAATGTTACCTATAAAGGGCTCACTGACCTTGTGACCGAGTAAGACCTTGTATTACTTTTGCTGGTGGTTATTTGTTTGTACCAGAACTGACATATTGCTTCTGTTTCTTTTTCTTCTACACTGATGTGTCAGGTTGATTTATAACGCTGTCAAAGGCTTATCTGAGAGATTTTCCATTCTTGTTGCAGTGTTGTTTCCTAGTTTTTGGTGACAACACTGAGCCTTGTATGATTCACAGTAATTAGTGAATCTACTTTTATCATTGTCACTATGTCTAGTTTTGTCACGAAGAATATTTTCTTTCCTTTTAATTTTTTTATGTTTCCATTGAAATAATTTAGTTCTTTATTAGACCGTCCTAAATATTCTCTGACTTTCCTTTCCAACATTATGTGATCGTGGTTAACTGCTCCTTTTCTTTCTTGCTGGAAATACAGTGACCCCTTCTCTTAAGACCATTGCTTGAATTAACACTAAAATATGATATTTCCCTGTTAGTGAGTGTTTACGGCCTCACTTTATTGGTTGACCTTATGCTTTAACAATTTGATGATCTTATGTGAGCTAACTTTTAGTTGCTTCTTAGGTTGTAATATTCATTTTATTTCTTTACACGGAAATTTTCATCATGCTGTCGCAGTGGTTAATGTGTTTGTTTAAACTTATTGCAGCACAGATAAAAGTAGTGAAGTTGCTATCCTTGAAGTAGTGAGGAAGAATTTTCCGGATCATCTAATTCTTGGGGAGGAAGGAGGAATTATTGGGGATTCATCATCGGATTATCTTTGGTGCATTGATCCTTTAGGTTTGTCCTCATCTCTAACTTCCACGGCAATGAAAGTAGCAATGCATATAGCCGAACTGTCTATTAGGGTTAGACAGCTTGTGTAGGTTCCCATAAGTAGATGTGGATTATCAAGGTTCCAAGTGGTTTAACTTGTAACTGCTAGGTTGTTTAATTTAGAAAAGGTCACATTTAACTAGTTCTCCCCTCCACATTTAACTAGTTCTAGTTTAACAAATACACAAGTTCATTAACCTAAATACCAGGCAACTATACAAGCAGATTTAAGCATGCAAAAGCACGTAATTTCTCAACCAATGTATGGATGAATATTGAGCATAATCCCACGAAGACTTATGATGAAGTTGAGTTGATATTTACTTCATATTGATTGAGAATTGGAAATGGGTGGAATTAGTAAACAATGGAATGAATAGGAAAGTACTGAATACTGATTAAGAAAAAAGGAAATAAAATAACTAGGTAGCTAAAAGAAAATCTTGTGGTAGCAAGCTTGTGTTTCTGACTTCACGTAATTGCTTCTTTTGGACCTTTATTATCCTCTTGATCTTACTTAGAATGTGAGTTGCTATGTCGGAGTTCATAATTATTCAGGGTACATTCCTATGTCAAGTGAAGCTAACCTTCTTAACTAACTCTGATGGTTATTAAGGTAAGGAGGATATTCTAATTTCTGTGCCTTTGAAGTATAACCCTATTCTGCAATCAAATCGTACCAAGTTCATCTATTTGATTAGTATAGATCACAAGCATTTCAATCCTCGGTCTAAATTAAGAATCTTTCCCAATCCCCTTAAAATATGAAAAAGACTAATTTGTCAATCAATTAGCATTAGATACAAGATTGAACAACAAACTCAATCATCAGTAATAAAGGCCAAGAAAGATATTATTCCAAGCTACATGATAAGATTCAACCTAACTTGGAAAGTAAATTTTTTTTGCTAAGAGTCTAGAACATCGTAAAGAATCTCTTAAACGTCCAATGTCAAAGTGGAATTGGAAGAAAGAAACTCTATTAGGTGCTCCAGTCCCTTCAAAAGCTCCTTGTCTTGTGCCTGATCTTGCCTCGAAAAACTGATTTTTGTTACCCTTTTATGGTCTTGGAAGTTCCCTTTTTTTTCATTTTATAATCTTGAATTCCTGTAAAAGTTGAGAACACCATAAACACCCAAAAACATGGTCTAGCACTTGAGGAGTTGGAATTATAATCTTAGACTTGCAAAGCTTCAATAAAGTGGTCATAACTTTGCCAAAGAATTCCAATGAGCCATTTGAAGCATAGGGCTGCAATTTTACGAGAATCATGGCTTAACTTGAGATCTAGATTAATCCAGATTACTTCTTGCAGTTTAGTCAAAATCTGGTACGTTCACTGCACAATTCACGGCGAGGGTTCTTTTCCTAAATATGCAAAAATATTTTATATCAAGTGAGATATCCACGATATGCTTCAAAAACTTACCACATTTTGCGAGAAAATTACTTAATATTATCATCGTACAATCATCTCATCACATACAAGTAGATATATTGCATGTGTGAGTTCAACAAAAGTTCACTCCACTGGAAACAATGGCACCACATATTATCTTAAAGACAACTCAACCAATAAGGAACAAATATTAATTGGCAACTTTATCTTGCAGATGGAACAACAAACTTTGCGCATGGCTATCCTAGCTTTGCGGTCTCTGTGGGTGTTCTTTTTAGAGGGAAGCCAGCTGCAGCTACTGTGGTATATGCTGGGATAGTTTCTGATGTGCCTTTTGGATTATTTACCATTGTTCAGTGGAAGAGCACTGTCTCTTATCCAGTGAGCTTGGTCTATGAAAATCTTACGATAGCTGATTCCGATCTAATGTGCAAGAAGAGAACCAAAAGCTTGAATGATGACTAGCAACTTAAATCATGTAGTGCTAAGAGATTGAATATGTCATATTCTTTTACTATCTTGGACGAATTGTGTAAAAAAGAATAAATGAGTATTCTTATATTCATAGCTGTAAGGGACCTGAACTGAGTGATAAAAAGGGGAAGGAATTTACAGTGAACTGTACAAATTCTAGAATAGTTGAAATAGAACGTGCTTTAATATTGCTGTAAGATTTTCTTTCTGAAGCTACCCATAATAGTGTAGGATTTGTGTTAGTTGCACTTAATATCACATAATTTAATCCAAGGCAACTCTACGTTTATAAATTTAGTGAAGAGTTGAATTAGCTGACCAACCAAGGTCATGTGGCTTTTATCTTATAGTAGCCAGCTATTATGCAGTATACAGAATCCCGGAGAGACATTGTGAGAATGAAATTGAGAACCATAAAGTGGAAAGACCATCAATGACACCAAATCTCTTGTTCTGATATGACATCTGAATTCCTCGCCCGGAACATAATACTGTTACTGTCTGCTTCTTTATAGGTTGAGTTTGTTGGTGGCCCTATGTGTTGGAATACTCGCATATTTTCTGCAGCTGCAGGTAAATAAGTTTATCTATAACAAGTCACTTATTCAATTGCGAATTCCAACGATCTACTACTGACATATGCAATTTTCTTCTTCTAGGCAAAGGAGCCTTTGCTAATGGTGAAAAGATTCATGTCAGTGGAACTGACAAGGTGAGAATTTTAATATGCAAATGTGTAAAACAGCTTACTTTCCATTTTCCACAGATCCATGATTTGAAATGAGAGTTTGATGATAACTTTCATAGCATCCGTTAAACACAGTTCTTGCTTGTTGAACTTACCTGCTATGTGTGACCTGTTATGCGTCTAGACCCTTTTACATGCACATGTATTTGTCCCTTTTACATGCACATGTATTTGTTACTATTTGACAGTTGTGCTAGTTTTGCACCTTCTTTTGACTTTGAAGTTTTAAATTGACTATAGTGTTACATTTATAAAGCTCACTAAATGAAAGGTACACTTACTGTCAATCTTCCTTTTTTTTTGGGGGGGAGGGGGGTGGTGTTTAGGTGGAACAATCTCTTCTGGTGACTGGATTTGGATATGAGCATGATGATCCATGGGCAACCAATATGGAATTGTTCAAGGACTTTACTGATGTTAGCCGGGTAGCAACTTTATCCCTTTATCTTTTTTCTGAAAATCTTGAAAATCACCCCCCCCCCCCCTCCCAAAAAAAAATTTAGTTATCTTCCTGCCATGTTCTGTATAGGGTGTTAGAAGGCTTGGTGCTGCTGCAGTGGACATGTGTCATGTTGCTTTGGGGATTGCTGAAGCATATTGGGAATATCGCTTAAAGCCATGGGACATGGCTGCAGGAGTTCTGGTATTCTTGATTTCATTATTATCGATATATTTCAGACACTCTTTCTACTTGTGTTTGGAGAAAAATTTAGATGGCTGAGTAGGCAGTTTTTGATGCTTAACAGGTCCAATCATTTAAGTGTATTTTCAATATAATATCTTGTGGTTCTCTCATTTCTATTTTTAATGAAAAAAAGGGTTAAAAGTGTTCTTTGCTACATGTTTTCCTTCTCTTTATAGATTTGTGAAAAAAGATTTAGTTGGTTAAAGAGAGAAGTATACTGTGCGCTTATCCCAAAAAAAAAGAAAAAAGAGAGCAGAACTTACCATTGTGTTATTTTTGTTTTTGAATAAGTAGAACTAACCAACAACAGCAATAACACGAACCCAGTGTAATTCCACAAGTGGGGTTTGGGGAGGGTAGTGTGTACGCAGACTTTACCCCTACCTTAGTGGAGGTAGAGAGGCTGTTTGCGGTAGACCCTCGGCTCAAGAAAGATGAAAAATAAGTAGAACTAACCATTTTACTATAAATAAATGCAGCGCAGACAATGTGCAGAAGGAGTGAAGGTCCTATGCCTTTGTTTGTTAGAATGAACCCTCTGTAGCAATTTATAACAAAACTTGTCTCATTTCTAATTTTCCGAATGATCTCATTGGATTCAAATTATTCAAGATCAGTGAGTTGGTTTGAATCGAAGAAGTGAATGGTGGTCATCTTTTAAACTTGAAGTATCACATGTTGGTAAAGTCTTAGTAATGAAATACCTCCCGGGTATCTATTCATGAAACTGAGTTTAGCTCAAATATTGTCCTTCTCAAGTTTCTCTAAGTGGTTTCTTCTTGTTTACGAACTGTTAACAAGCTTTATTCAAGTCATTATTTAACACTGTGGTGTATGTTTCATGCAGATAGTTGAAGAGGCTGGAGGGAAAGTTTCATGTATGGATGGTGGAAAGTTTTCAGTATTTGATAGATCTGTCTTGGTATCCAATGGTTTGCTCCATGCAAAGGTCAGTCGTCAGTGTCTATGCAGAAATGGAATTAACTTGCAAGCTGTTTTTCATCTGAATATGGTTGGAGTTGATTTAAATTGTCAGTTCTGCTTTTCTTTCCCTATAATGCATAGTACCTCCAATCCAGTAGGTCAACCTTTTTCTTTTTAAGTACTTTTTATACGTATGTAGAGGACGGAATTATTCTTAATCTCGTAAATTTTTGTTAAAAATTAGAACATGTAACTCTCTAAAGGAAATGTCAAGCTCCTTAATTTCATTTCTGTTAACACGCGCAGCTCCTTGAGAAAATTGGTCCAGCAACAGAGAATTTGAAGGGAAAAGGGATTGATTTCTCAGTGTGGTTCAAGCCAGAAAATTATCATACAGAAGTTTGATACGTCCAATTTTTTCTTTAGATGCCCTGCTTGAAAGATTCTCTAACACTCAGATTTTGATTAGGTCAGTATTTGCATCTGTATTTTCTATATTACATAACATTCTATGGAACTGGACAGATTTTCATTGGTATTAGGTAATCTAATATAACATGTCTTTTAGGTAAAAGGATATGGGCAATGGAAATAAACGATATTTTAAATTTTTATTGTATTTATTCTTGTTATAGCTGGTTAACTTTTGTAACAAAATAGTAAACAAGTTGTTTGCAGTAATTTGCTATCCGCCGAATTAGGCTATTGGAAATGTGTGCGTGCTAGTTATGATGTCCCAACGAACTCTATGCACTTTCTAATACTGGAATTTTGAAAAATTATCCCGACTTTATCAAACAATTGTAGGCTGAAGGATGGAATGAAAAATGCAGTAAAGTTGTATTGCCTTTGAATAAGCCTTAAACACATTGTAAAACTAAAATTCTTTTTGAACAAGCGTCATTTAGACAGAATAACTCAAGTAAACATTCTAGCTACCTCACAGAATCGTGCAAAACAATTTCATGAAGACATTTTGTTTCAAGTGCCCCAACTAGAAATGAAGCGTGTAATTACAATGGAAAGCTAAATTCTGATTCGCACGGCAGTGACTTGAAAGACAACTGAAGCTTAATTAGTCAAGCACCTTTGTTTCCGGATAACCGTGGTGTCCGGGATAGCTTGCACACACATCGACTAAGTCCTTAGTCGATGGGGTACCTGCTACCTCGCACCAACACAGGTACCAGGTAACTCTGTCCACTAAGGCTTGGACAGATGAGCAGAAATCACCTAGTGTTTTTGCTGCCGCTGGGATTTGAACCCAAGACCTCACGTTCTCCAACCGCTTTGTTGACCACTAGGTCACACCGTTGGGTGTTTAGTCAAACATTTGACCTGTTTCAGTAAAGGCGTTGGTTGTATTTTTGGAATCTATAGGGAGATGGCCAGCCCAATTGCATGTACAGTCGAGCTGGTCCTAGGCAAACTCCCTGTGACCCAAGACTTTGGTGAAGATGGTAGATACTTTAAATCGAATCTGAAGATGTTGCACTGACTAGTTTACTCGCTTCATCCAGCAATTTTCCTATTCCTTACAAGAAACTCTGCGCTGTGCTATGGGCTTGACCCTCAAACAAGTTCAAGTGCGGGTCAAATTGAGCTTTAAATGGCTATTTTTGACTTTTAAATTGAGTTTGTAGCAGGAAGCACAACTAGTCAATTAGGTCCCAACAGAAGGCTACAAGGAAACTAGGAAAACATGCTCAGTGTTTGCCAATAACTATTAGATCTTTGTTGTATTAGATTGATATGGATCTTTCTCTTGCTATATCATGTAAGGGTACTTCCCTAGTATCACTTGGTTAATCAAATTACATCTTTATCTATTAACAAATTGCTATGGTTCCATGCTTCTTTTGGCATAAAGATTTCCATGTTATAGTGGAACCGGCAAACATATCCATTAAATGTTTGCCTGTCACTGAGAAAGTGCAATACTACTCTTAAAATGTATTCCGAGATGGGATAACTTTAGTTAATCTGGGAAACACTCTGAACCACAAACTAATGTTTTAATTGAGAGATTTACTTTACTTAGGCTGGAGGTTTACAGACCCATAGGTTTTTATCCCTGCTAGGGAACAGAAGTTCTATTTTTGATTTATTTACTTTACCAGTATAACAGATTACCCTGTGCTAGATTTTTCCTAGATAGGTCAACTATGGTCTTTACACATCTATCACTTGATACTATTGAGTTCTAGGCTTAATGCCAAATGTTTGAGGCTTAGGATATAGCTGCTAAATGTAGTACATGCATCTTAATTTGAATATGCAAAAGAAAGAACACTATCTCATGCTTTTTGCTGCTAGCTTAGTGCTCATCATTTTAAACATCAGTGTGAAAAAGCTAAAAAGAAACTGCAACTGGGTGAGCTGCAGCTGCATGCCAAGTTTGTATTGTATGCCATAGAACCTCAGGCTTTTGGGCGAAGGACAGCACCTTTGATGACTAGCCCCCTCTTCCAAATCCCACCTTCATATTCATATAAAGAGAACTCTATCTCTCCATTCTTCTGATCTGCTGATGTCATGAACTCTCCTACTGGGATTTCTATCCATTTTCCTCGTGGTTTTTCCACCATATTCTCCTTATGTCCCTGCCTGCTACCATCTGGGAGAATGAGTCGAAGATTCACTGGATTTTCCCATCCATAAGCAGGATCCTTTAACATGACAATAAACACAACCTCATACATGAATCCTGGAGATAGCCTAACTGTATTGAATCTTCCATGGATTTCTAGCCAGCAAACATCTAGTAATTCTGCTGCTGGAAGAAGCACATCACTGCATAAACGATAGAAACAGCATTTCAGGCCTTTTTAGTTTGGTAGTTTTCAACTACAGAAACCATTAGGTATGTAGTACATGTTGGTTTAGAATAGCTTCTAATAGGGAACATGATCTTAGAGTTAAAAAGTATTAGTTAGTTTTAACTGATGAATGCTGATTATCATTTGGTGGCCCGACAGCTAACACATGTTTACTGATTTTTAGTCTGTTTTAGCGCATCACTTTCATTGTTCTGTTTTATATGACACTCTTTCCTTTTTAGTCTATTCCAAAAAGGATGACTTATTTTTATATTTGGTAACTTTTTAACTTTAAACTTCTAGTTTTACCCTTAATGACATGCTCTTATAGCCATAGAATATCGTGTCAGGTTTAGAACCACAAGTTGTAAAGATACTTTTGGTATGTACCAAAGGTCTTTCTTAAACCTTATGCCCAGTCATAAACCACCATATAAAATAATACGGAAGGATTATTACACCCCTTGGAGTGTGGCTCTTCCCCCGACCCTGCGTGAACGCTTGATGCTTTGTACACCTGGTTGCCCTAAGGATTATTATTCTTCTATGCCAGCCTTACGTGTTGGAAAGGATGCTTCTGACCAGTTAAAGCTTTGGATCTGCACTGTAGTTCAACTTTAATGAGCCTGGTTTTCTTTGTCAAATGAAACATTTTCATATTACCTCGAGTCCTGTACCAAGGGCCAGTGCCAGAAACGGTTGTTTTCTGCCCAAGTGATTAAGAGGTCTCTTGCATACAGCATGAAACAGTTTCCCTTTGACTTCTTATCAACCCAGTATTTCTGCATGAAGTGGAGATGTTCTGCTAAGTTAGCCATAACAGTAGATATTATTGCTACAGGGCAAAACAATAATTTCAAGTGTTTAGGCTCAATTGGCTAGTTGAACTTGAACATGAGAATTGGTCCATTAAATCAAGAGAGTACACGCTTCTCTTGGGGTCAATTTGAAGGATAGACTTCTAAACTCAGCAAAATTTACGTAAAGAGCACAACAAAGTATCTATATACTCATTCTTAAAAAATAAAGTATCTTTATATTTCCACATAGCATTTAGGGACACTTGAACCTGTATATCTACATCAAAATAACGCTTGTAACACAACCTTCTCAAGGAAGAACACTATCAAGATATGTATGACTCTGAACGAATTTGGGTGCCCTATTTGGTTTGAACATGACTGTTAGAGTAAAAGTTGGAGTTTTTGCTAATCTTTAAATGAAAGGGGGTTTAGAAATTGAGATAAACTTAGTGAAGTAGGCCCCGGCCTAGCTCAAGTGGCAAAGGGTGGTGGATTTGTGTATTAAGTCACAGGTTCAAGCTCCCACACCATGCAAAGCAAAACCTGGTATTTAAGTGGAGAAGGGTAGAGGGGCGGACCCATTATCCACCGAGTTTCGAAGGCTGCGGTTGGTCCAAAGGATCAGCCCCAGACGGATTTCTCGGTCGTCAAAAAACAAAATAGGTTAAACAAAAATCTTTTTGCAAATAGGATAATAAAAAAGTCTTGATATGTGAAGAATTTCCTTTTCAGAAGGGGGGCCACCTTTTCAAAAAGAGCCTTTCGTTTAGACTATAGCACTTAAGCTAATGGAGACAAATTTTCCTTACCTTGTGCTTTTGGTTCAAGAATACTCCAGCATATAGCTGGTCATACAGTTTGTCCATGGAGGATCTGTCAATAGAAGAATCTGCCTCTTTTAGGATTTCTTCGTAATTATGTGGAAATCCAACTACTCTGGTGGTTTCCATTGTCTTGTTAGTCTCAATACTCTTGCCGCTCTGTGGCATAATCTTTCTTGGTTCTTCATTGACTACGGCGGCATCATTATGGTGGCTTTGAGGTGAAGTGTTTCTTAGTTCTTGATTTTGTTGTAAATCCTGATCTTGTGACCACCCTGACCCCATTTTCTCTAAAGATGAACTCTTTGCCGATGTTGGTTTATGTACTCTGCCAGGTCTAATCCGTAGTCACTCTCATGAGCAGGGAAGCTTTTATTCTGAAACTTTTCCCAGTTGGGCATCTTTTGATTTTTTTCTTTTTCAAGTGGAGTCGGAATCTATCTTTAAGAATCTATCCCTTCTTATCCACTTCGCACTGTCTATAAACAGATTTGTAGTTATTCCTCTACGATGAACTTAGGTTATGACAATGTAGTTTTTTCCCTTTTGGTTATAAACTCAGTAATGTTACCGGATGTGGAAGATGTCTAAATTTGGAAAAGGGTATAACTCCTGGATGTGGAAGCATCGTCCGATCCGAAAAATAGCTTGCACCTTGTACCTTTAAAACATTCCAAACTCCTGCAATACCTTATTTTGTGGCTTCTGCCTTTTCTGCTTCTGATTATACTTTGATCATTTAACCCCTCTGCATCAATTTGCACAGAGTTTAAATTTCTATTTAGTGGAAGCGTAAAAGAATTTTTATATTATTAGGTCACCTAGAAGATAACTATGTAATAACTACAGTTGCCCATAATAAGTGGAATTAGTATGGTGAGAAATAAGGCGGACAACATGTTAAACATTTATACTTAAGTTAGATAGTATTCCTATTATATATTTATACGGTTTTATAATGTGTTTTTGACCAATATTGTCCCTTATCTTTGAGAGGAGGTCTATTTTGGTCCCTCCTCAAATATAACCCTGAGCATATTTAGTCCCTTAAGTATGCTAAAGTGGAGCACCTTTAGTCTGACACAATGTGTTCAAAAACTAATGGTGTTACCTAACTCTGATTCATGAAATAAATCTTCTGCTCTGAAGCAAAACATTTCCTCTCCTTTTATTGGATAACGCAAATTAT